TCTCGAGTACTCTTCAAAACAAAAGACATGTCGTGGATAATCGAACGAAGCGACGATGCACCTTCAGCCATTACTACTCAAGATAATACCGTTACCTGTCAGAAAGAAGATTTCTATGACGGTCCAATCAACGTCCTTTGGAAAGATCCGGCTGAGAAATCGGGACAATATTACTGGCAAATTGAATTTTTAAAGTTAGACAAACAAGGAACCGTTGGTGTTGGTCTAACAACACAAGATCATTTCAAAGCTGGCTATGCCATAAAGTTCATGGAATATAATGGTAAGTTAATGAATCTTTGTTCAGATCCAAAAGTTTCAACCTCAGAGTGGCTTCATATCTCTCTGTTTATAAATACATTTACTTACATTACTGTTTAAGTTCTCGCTACTTTTAGGTAACTTAACTGATGGTAGCGCTGGTTTGGTTCTCTCATTTGGTGACTGTATTAAACAAGGTGATAATATTGGCATTTTGCTCAATCTAACTGACAGTGAAATGAAAGTGTATTTGTTTCTCAATGGCCGACCATTGGGCATGGCATTCCATGTGCAAGCTCCATTTCCAAAACCCTTATTTCCAGGTGATTATTTATGCGTCTTTCATTCAATATTTAGTTTAGTTTCTCAATCTTTGTTCTTAATCTAGTCATTAGTTTCAATACAAATGGTAAAGCTAGAATTATTCATTCACAACAAGTTCCAACTTCGCTCGATCGACAAGAAAAACAGTTCAATGGCATTGAAGGTCACTGGAAACTGGTGGACTATCCACAACACAGTGACTGTACTGGCTATCATTTTCATCTTTTTAAACAAGATGAATCCGATCAAAATACGTACCGTCTATCAACTCGTGTTATAAACACTATGAATAGCATCTTTCATCATGATCCGTCCACAAATCAATGTCAAAATTATAGCGGGATGTCAACAATGATGGGAGAAGACGAGGAATCGATGCGAAAGGAAGATGTGATCAGTAAACTGATTAATGGTATAACAGATTTTAAGTTAAAAGGAGAACAATTGGTTATAACATCGAATGGAAATCAAGTGAAACTTGAACGATATACACTAGAACCTCCACAAACATGCACGAAAAATATTTTTGCAGCAGAATATTAACTATCGGATTTACAGTTACAAAGAGAACTACACAGAAGTAGAACTAATTTCACTTGTAGAGCTTTTATTAACGCGCACATATATTTATTTGACTTAAATAAAATAATGTCTTGATTTAGTCTTTCTTTGTTTATTTGTGTGAGCAAGGGTAGAAGTGAGTGTGGGCGTGAGCGTATTCGGATAAGATACCCACACCCATACCTAGGAGTGTAACAAATCCTTGTTTATCAGCATAAAGATTGTAAATTTTCGATATGAAACCTACCAAATTCAACCAAATCTTTGTGTCAGTTATAACCAGTTTTTATTTGCTCTACTCGATACTGGTACAAAATTACCAAATCTAAAAAAGGAATTTCTGAGATTTGGTAGGATTTGATGAAAATATGATAGTTTTTATCAAATCCCATCAAATCTTAGAAGTTTCTTTTTTAGATTTGGTAATTTTGTACTAGTAACGAGTAGAGCGAATAAAATTGGTTACAAATGACACGAAGATTTGGTGGATTTTCCTATCGAAAATTTACGATCTTTATGTAGAAAAATAGAATTTGTTGCATCCCTACCCACACCCACACTTCACATTCTATCGTATTAACTGCTCTTTGTCTTCACATCATCTATGCACAACTCGTGACCAATACATATTTTTTTTTTATATGTCCGATGTCAATTAAATCTTGTGTTTATGTCTTTCAAAAAGCGATAGTTTTTTGTTTGTATATGTTGCTTCCTCCTGTTACATATGTTACTCAATGTTTTTTGCATGTTTTAACGATTATTGATTGATATCATTACATTAATTTTAGTGGTTGTTTATCTTATTCAAATATTCATTAGTGGTGCTTCATTTTATTATCTAATGTTGTCTTGATATCTTATCCTACTAGCAATCACAAATAGAAACAACAAGAACAATTAAATCACTAAAACTAAGAATCAACACGAAGCCCAGTGGATCTTGCGATTATGAGTTTGGGTGTGGATGTTGAAGAATAGAAGAGCTGCACCCACATTCTGAATTCGAAACACACGTATTCTGCTAGAATTCAGTGAGCTCTATTCCATCACCACGAAAAAAGAGAAAAAGTAAGATCTAGTGAACTTTTGAATTCTGAGAAGCTTACACACATTATAAATATCTTGAAATTCGAATATGTCGGTCGTACATGACAATAGTAGCTCACATTTTGAACTTGTTAGTTTGGCTACAAAAGCCTTAATTCGACTCGAATGTATCGAATCTATTTAACCTATCATTCATATTACTCGATTGCTAGAATCCTTACAGAAGTATTAGACAAAATTCTGTCAACATCTTGACAAATTTTAATCAAAGACCCATTCTAAATTGTGATATGAGGATTCAGTAAAAGTTTTTGGTGGGTGTTTTCAATATTGGATCTTTCTCGGTTGTCTAATACAGGCTCTCTTAATTTTTAATAAGTTACTATCGTAAAAGTATCAAATCGAAAAAATATGTTTAGCTTTCTGCTGTTTATGTGAATATTTATATTCGTATAGATCATATGCAGGTAATAATCAATATATGAACAAAAAGTGAATTTTGTTTGGACTTGTTCGATCCTAATAAATGCTTCAAAAAAGAAAATTCAAGAACTTTATAAAATATGATTGAATCATACGTAAGACCAAGCAATTGGAAATGGTAGTCCGTTAGGACGACAACGACCGATTGCGAACTATTTTTTACGGTTCGATTTAGAATATCTCAATAGAAAATAGCAAAAGTCCTATTTTTTTTATAAAGCTGACATCTGACAATATGATAAACTTTTTTTAATATGCATGTGTATTTTCAGCGATAGATTTCAAAGAAGAATCCAGCAAACAATGAGAGATGATGGTTCAATCGAATTCAGTCGAGAGTCAAGCGAGTTATGATGACAAACATTTATTGTGTTACATAGTTCGATAAATATTTTTAGGAATTCTGTATTTATTATATTATTAGTTTTGCTTGTGTACTACTAAATTTATATATCTTTATAATAATATGTAACCGTTTCTCATTATTTATTCTATTAGTCTTGAATCAAGTAAAATGATTTAGGTTGTATGCCCATTGTTAACTAGAGTATTATTTATTAATATAATTTCATGACATATGCGACAAAGATCGTTTATCACAACACTTTCTTATATTTTAGCGCAACGTAATTTATCTTTATTAATTAAAATATAAAGATGATAAAAAGGAATTAATGTTAAATAAATAAAATTGATCGAAAAAAAAATGTTTGATTAATAAAACTATTAAAATTATTATCCATTAGATAAAAGACTAAAATTTCCACTTCCATAAGTAGCTCCATCTCCATAAATATGTAAAGTATAAGTATCTGTTGATCTGTAATAATGTATACTTGAATCATTTTGTACATCATTCGTTTGCCAAGTATTTCCATACGATGATATTGGATATTCAAATGCATATAATATATTATCGCCTGCACTGTGTCTAATGTCTGTAACTTGAAAATAATGAAAATTATAAATAGCAGTTCCAAACCATGCTTGACTAAATTGTTGAGTGGAACCAAATGATGATGATATTGGAGTTGAACTTGTTGAAACCGTTGCCATTGAAATTCCATATAAATTTGAATATGATAAACATTTATCTGCTTTTATTTTCCATGCTGTTAAATCTCGATAAGTACTATTCGATATTAAATATGATTCAAGTAAATAAATATCACGAGAATCTAAAAGCATTGGACTTCCAGACATAACATCATCTGGATCCCATGCATTCAGCATAACCCGTAAATTTAATGCATGACAATAAGAGATCATTGTATTTTGACGAGAACGAGTTACACCATAATCATAACTGAACAAGATCATTTTTTATGTTTTAAATATTGAGAAAAAAAAAACACCTTACCCAGCATCATCCCAGAAGATTCCTTGGATCCCCATAGCTGCCCATTCATCAACAGTGGTTTGCATTTGTAAAATAGATAAGTTTTGTGTTATCACTCCAAGATCAATATAACCAAAAGTTAATTTACCAATGTTATTTAATGATTGAATAATTGTTTGTGTATTAACATGATCACCATGAGATTTTTCAGATATTCCATCACCAAAAACAATCAAATCAAATTGACTAAATGTGATAATAGCTGCAGTTAACTTCCAATTAGCACCATGAACTAGTGATGGCCATCCATAATAAATACCAAGACGTTTAGGAACATTCACGATTAATGATGTTGAATTATTACTCAATCCTAAATTCAACAAAAATAGTATTCATTATAAATAATTAGTTATAAATAATTTTAATTTATTATTACCTGTATTAAATTTTAGAATAATAATAAGTGGAATAATAGCAGTAATAGCTACGAGAAATAATATACCAATAATTGCTAAAGCTAAACCAAATGTAGTTAAACCATTTGTCGATGTACAACAGCATTCTAAAGCATAAATTCCTCTCCTCTTCCTCCGAGATCGTTTATTTTCATTGGCTGAATCAAATCGAACAGGTTTTCTCTGATCATGATTAACGCCAATCAATGATATTGGAATTATACGTGTCTAAAATCAATTTTAGAAAAAAAGCTAGTCCTTAACAAGAAAATAAATACCTTCATTATTTTTAGGTGGATGCACGTTTTAAAATTCAATAAATGTACTTTGTGCTGTCGTTTTTATTTGAATAATAACATTTTTCTGATTTTTACTTTTATATTCTTCTACACAATAAAAACATCTTCCAGTGAAACCATATGAATAGACAAAAAGCATCGGTATTCGAAGTCTTTCTATCCTAATACATAAAACGATTTTATTCTTGTTTTAGTTTACTTTCACTTCAGATGAAATCTTATTTTAATGTTTTAACAAAATATACTTGCTTTTATTTCATCATCAAACAAAAACAATCCATAAAAAATAAAAATAATTGCTTTCAATACTATTGAAATAGCATTGCTTAAAACATTTCTACTGAAAGCTATTATTGAATCTATTTTTTAATGTTCAATTACTTCCAGAAAGACAAGGGTTAAAATAATACTCTCATTTAAAGAATTCGCTCATAATAAAGGGAAATTGTTTTTAAATTTGAAAAGATTGTTCATTTTCAAGGTTTCATTTGCAGATCAATTCTATCAATAGTAAAAAACGAATTAACCGAAAATCTCTTTGAAAATACTTAACAAATCACAAACAATACAATAAGCCAATAAATTGAAAACATTTTATTTAACAGTCGAGAAAACATCCTCTTTTAAAAGATGTTTCATTTTATTATCAAATTGTTTCAACATCGACTAATGAGAATTTCTCATGAACAAAACTGTGTTTGTTCTTTATAAATTAATAAAATTAAATTGAAATACATAATTAACTTGGACACTAAAATGAAAATAGAATATGTTTATTTGATATATTGGTGATTGTTTTAGAGAATGATTAACCTGTTGCCCCTTCGTATTTTCATTTTATATTAACATTTCAATTCTCAAATATATACAAAAACCATTTCGCTGTTTATTAGTTAATAAATTGGATAAAATTTCAAAAGCGAACCTTTTTTTTATGAACTGACATATGTAATCCAGTGGTTTAACCAAAGGGGACGCAAATGGATAATTGCCCATTTCATTTGGAAATTTGCCCTAACGTAATTTTTATTAGTAAGGTTTTACTCATTGGGGGTGTGGGTAACTCTTGTATAGCTATCCACACCTCATCCATACCCACACCTCATCCACACCCACACCCGCATCTCAGTTTCGTTGGATGAATTTATAAGAAAATGTATTATAGGAACACGCATATCATCGTACACAAGGACATTGATACAAATGTCAATATTCACATTCACATGTACCATTTTCAAACGTTCGATACTAGCTGTGTTGAGACTGCGAAGCAGTATACAATACTGAAACAGCTGAATATTCAGTCGAGGGTCAAACGAGTCACACAGACGAGCGTTACTTGTTAATTTTCATCTTTTTGTTTCAAGAAAAATTTTAAAATATTTTAAAATAAAATTGAAAATGATTTTTTCTGTTCTCGTATGAAAATTAGTAACTGCAACACTCATCAACAGCCTTTGAAACAACACCAATAAGGATCATTCATTGTAGAATAGCTACATCCACCCGAAGAAGCACAGTATCCTATAGGAAAACCAGCATTACAACCATAAGGAAATTCTCCAGGGCATTTGCCATCACAGGAAGTTGATACAGGTGCTACCGTAACTGTTATTGGTGCATCTGTTGGCGGATTTGTCAAAGCTGGTGGGTTTGTACCAGATGGTTGTTGATTACAACCGTTGAAGCAACACCAATTAGGATCATTCATTGTAGAATAGCTACATCCACCTCCTGCGTTACAATATCCATATTGAAAGCTAGGATTACAACCATACGGATATTGGCCTTGGCATTTACCATCACAGTTGGTTGTTATTGGTGCTGTCGTAACAGGTGCTATCGTAACAGGTGCTGTTGTAACAGGTGCTATCATAACAGGTGTTGTCGTAACAGATGCAATGGTACTAGAACCTGTTCCACCTGAACATTTAATTCCTGACATAACTCCAGGTTTATGTATTCTTTGTGTTCCTGTTTTTAAAAAGCAACGAAAAGAGAAAAAAACCCATGAATTACAGGCTGCCCTTGCATTGCACTCAGCACAGCAAGATTTTGGATCTGCTGCTTGAGAAACGTCAAACTGTTCACCGGCAATATCACTATCCGTGAAGAAATAACATCCGTTAAAGCACGAGGGCGCTGGATCTGAAACTGGAAGTGGTGGGGTCGTTGTATCACATCTATCACCATACCAACCATCCATACAAACACATGGTTTATTTGTAACAGGTAAACTTTGTCCAAGATATTGAGCAACACAATTACCATTGATACATCCAGCAGCAGCACAAGTGTCAATATTACAATTTGAACCAGAAAATCCAGGATTACACAAACACTCTCCTGTTGCACAATCACAGTATCCATTTGTACAACTATTCGGGCATTTGTCAGGACAATGCTCAACATTACTTAATTGTGGTTGAGATCTACAGTTAACGGGTGACATGTCAGGAAAAGACGTACAAGCTCCTCTTCCTTTTACTGTAAGATAATTATCTCCAGACCAAATGTATCTTAAGAATGAAAAATTATTAAAAAAAAAAATAGTTTCCAAGAAAAAATTACCTTCGATCGTGCTGAGAGTGAACTGGATATGGACAGTTTCTACCGGCAACAACTAAATCAATCTCATCTCTCTTCCAACGATTTCCAAAGATAGGATCAGAAAATTCAATAATCCAATCAGAAGACACATCTCCTCCACCAGTCATTGACAATTTATATTTGTGATCCAAACCAGGAACAACAGTGGCACTGTAACCTTGCTTTCTGTCTCCAATTTGAAAAAATTTCAAAGTAACTGAACTTATGAGATTACCGAATTGCCAAAGTTCCAACTGCATCGTTTGAGAGTTTCCAGAATTTTGATTAAATGAGAATATCTAAAACATTTGAAGAGAATATAGAAAAATAATCACTTTTTCAAAAAACTGATAGTACTTCAAGTCGGCGAACAGGTCTTTTGCATAAAATAGCTCCTAAAATTACAAATTAAATAAGTTTAAAAATTAATTTATCAATAAACAAAACAGTGTTAAATATTTTTAGTTTTTCAACATACCACCATCATATTTTCTCATAAATTTACCAGTATTTTGACCTAAAAGACTAGCAACATCATTCAAACTAAAACAAGATGCACCATTATCCAATGCTAAAAGATAGGACCTTAAACAAAGATTAAATAAATTAAAAAAGTTCTTTGAAAGGAAAGAGAACAAAGTTCTACCAATATGGATTGACTATAGAACAAAATCCAGCTGGAAATAATTTATTCCCATTTAAGTTTTTCTCATCATCGGGTCCAAGTGTAAACATGGCACCATTGTTCGGTCCCCACTTTAATATTGAAAATTCATCAGATGTAACACCAGTCCATTTCATATTGACAAATACATAAGTTGGCATACAAAGTACTTTAGATGAAATTTTAAATTACAAAATTAATTATAAAGATAAATAAGAAATATCAACTACCTCCAGTTACTCCAATTTGACAATGATGACTTGACTCAAAGTTAACTTGATTATTGAAAATCATATTTTCCAAAATAAACGTTCCATGACCACCAGGCAAAGCCAAATTGCCTGAGTCATAAAACGAATCAGCAATATGAGAGGAACAACCGTCTTGAAAGTTTTTTGTTTCCTTCCAGTAAATCAAATTGTTGTTGTTAATGCTTGTATGAAATCGATACTGTAAATCACCAGTACTATATTGGCCGACAAACACATTGTCATAATCGATATTATGCATAAATGTCGCTGGTAATCCATTATCTTCACCATTTGTAGTCCATTCTTTACATGTGCTTAAAGTTGGTAAACCATTTTTATCAACCGATCTGTCGGTTTTTTTTGGGAATACACTTGCGAGTACATATGTACCAAATCTTCCACAACCATGAAAAGTGTTTCCTTCTAATCTTCCAATTTGCTGGAAACTTGGACATTCTAAACCATTTACGTGACCTCGACCACGATCGAATCCTTGCTCTTGATACAACATACCATTATAATTATTAGCAAAACGATTTCCAATAGCATAGTTAGTAAAACTCAAACCCCATAAACCAGCTTGATTTAATGTAGTATCAGCTTGATCATTGTCTGTGCCTTTAAAAACAAAAAGAAAAAAGAAAAACAAAACTGTGAAAATTTTGAAATTTAAAACTCACCTGGTATAGTACATCCCCTTTTTTCTCCGGATTTTGCCCAAGGACATATTCCAACATTATAAAATATTCTATTATACATTTCATTTCCATCTTCAACATATATTGTTGCACCACGAATATCATTATAAACATTATTCTCTATAGTTGCCAAATGTGTTCCATGAATGGTAGTACCTCTTTGATGACCATACTCAATAGCATTACCAATAATTTTGCAATCAGGACATTTACTAATTAAATGTAAATGTACACAGTATTTTCCTAAAATACCACGTTGACCACACTTCTCAATCCTTGTGTATTGTAAAGATAGAACAGAACCGTGGCCAATCGCAATTGTATGCAATCCAAGAGTGCATTTATTTCGGTTAATAGATTTCCAACATGAACAGTGATCGGCTTGAATATGATCCTGTGGTTTGCCGCCAGCAGCATCATCCACACAATTAACATGCTGAAAATCGTCTCCAGTAATTATAATATTACGTGCAAGGTTAATAACTTCAGCTTGCATGAGAGCAGACATATTTTGGCCTGTAAACAGGGTTGTTGACTTAAAATATGACGATATAAAACCAGTAGAAGTTCCGTCTTTATTAAGCAATTTTATAGTATTATTAGCTTCGAATCCTCCAATCGTATAATCTTCAGCATTTCCACTTGAGCTTGACATAGTCGGAGCTATAACAATTCTATCACCAATTCTCCAACCCTAAAGTATAATAAACGTTTACAGTATAATGAAAAACACTGAGAAATTCAACACTAACCATATCTTCAGGTTTGTGTAAGAGACTAATTGAAGTCATACCATATGTAGCTCTATTAGCTAGTAACGACCAAGTTCTAGCAAGAGAGCGACCACTAACATGTATTTTACCGGCATTATAGGAACCAAAGGCACGAGTAGAAACTGTTGGATGCTTGAGACCATTATTTTTAATATAAATATAACCTTGTTTACTCGTTAGATTCATGTCGAATTGGCCTCCATTGACCTACACAAAATAAATATTCAATTTCTCAAATTCTGATTAAATTATAAAGCAAATATTATTACAGCAATGTAACCAGCACACAACCATTGATCACTTGAAGATTGGCTGATGTCATTCCAAACTAACGAACCACTCAAAACTAAAGCAGCAACATTTAAATTGCTATTCATTGTAACGGTAAAGCCAGCTGGTATGGTGCATATAGTTTCCGTACCACAAAATATTTGTAAATCAGATGATAACATTGAAGTTGTTATTGATTTAGCTGTTGACACTGTAGCTTGATTCTGGTTCTTACATGTGGCTGACAAGTCTTGAGGAAGCGGTGCTGAATAAGAATCTTTTATTAGAGTATTAAAAGCATCAATGTATGCTGCTTCGTCTTGTTCAGCAAAAGCTTCATAGACATTGTTTGTTTGCATTAAACATGGTGAAATGAAAAAGAGTTTCAAAATGATTGATATTAACATCACATAAATGTATTTATTAATCTAAAAGTTGAAAATAATATACTTTGCAAGAAACATATCGGATGACCAATAATGAATGGTCACACTTTACATTAAAATATACCATAAGATGCAGCGTAAAAAGCTCTACACTTTATATAAGACCAACCTTTTTATAGTTGCACTTTTTGTTTTGAAAATCAGGTGAGCGATCAAATTTCGACCATGCAAAAACAATATATTTTTTTGTACAAGATGAATTCGTTTTTTCTTATTTCATCTTTTTATCACCTGATATCTTTTATTTAAAAACAAAAAAAAAGAAAACATACCACTAGATGCAGCGAGAAAAGCCCTAGAATTTACACAGTAAAGCTTATTGTAATTATTTTCAAAAAAAGCAAAATCCTCTGAGATCAATTTTCAGATGGTCGAAATTTGATCGTTTCAAATTTTGCAGGCTTTGCAAGCAAAAAAGTGTACCTGTTATTTAGAGATGAAAATATGAAATGTAAAGTGCAGCCATTCATTATTGGTCACCCAGTATTATGCATAGAGTATGAAAACTTAATTAAAAAATGAAAATATAATTGTAAAATCGTTTGGTTATCATAGATATTAATATTTTAAATGTATTTAAAACGAAATTTAGCTGGGCACATATATTTTCTAATTTCCGAAGTTGTAAACAGTTCTCAGAAATACCTTATTGCCCAATCAGTATTTCCAGAAACCGTAAAGGTATTCTCAGAAACCAATATTGTCAGAGAGCGTGATTCAAAATCAAAATGGATATGTGAAAATACCTTTTCGATTTCTTCTGCGGTACTTCCTCGAATACTTAAAAGGTTTTCAAGCTTTCTGAATCAGAAAAAAGTATAATGGAAAACTTAAATGTGTTTTTGATTTTCGATCGACAGCTTGCAAACATTTTGCGATGTTCAGAAAACTTTAGAATCTTCTAGAACAAAATCTTACTAAGGATCAACATACTTTTCCAAGAAACCTATTCGGCGTTCGAGTTCCCTATTTTCAGCTTAATTTTCACTCAGTTTTTGAAGTTTTCAATAAAACAAAAAATGGCATAGATTTTGATTGCAAAAATGTATTGATTTAAAGAAAGAATTATCGACAGCTAAAGTTATACTAACTTTACATTACCAACTTACGTCCAATTTTAAATATATAAGAAGAACAGAAGGAGTTATATACGTATATAAGCGGTTAATCATGAAAAAGGGGATTCAATATACCGTATAGAAATACAGCTTAGATATGACTATGAGGGATTGAGGAGAGAAATCAGAGATTAATGAAAAGGTGCCCGCAGCGCAAAAATCAAGTGAAATTTTTTTTTTCAACTTTTTTTATATCATTTAATAGAGCTTGAGTTGCTGATCACGAAAACGCTAGTTTTAACTCTAAATGAATGTTTTCTTCCAGTCGAAAAATACGAAATACTCGATGGATGTCGTTTTCTTCAAAAAATACATATTTTTCAAAATGTGCGAAACTTTCTATCGTTCGGCTTTTGGAGATAAGTTTTTCAGATGCAGCATCAAAAATTGAGTACAGGCAAGTTGTTAAATCGGCTCAAGACTCCCAAACTCTATTAGTGGTAACGCTTCGAATCGCGTCGAGAGAGATACGTATAGGTCGATTTTGTAAACCTATCTCGTTTTATCACGTAAGCGATGAAGTCAAATATATTATCTCATTCGATTCATCATACCATCAATCACAAAGTTACGTATCCTTTTTTATTTCCTTTTATTTTCTTCGCCAAAAATTGGACTTTATATAAAAAGATTACCATATCTGGAATTAGCGTAAAAAATCGAGTCCATTAATGCATATTTTAATTATTTCTAATGATTTCAGTTTTTTTTCGAGTTTTCACCTGTTACGGTGGCTGAAAATTTCACCAAAAAATCAAACGTGGGTGTAAGTCAATACCAGATCTATATCCCCACCCACACCCACATTCGATATTTAAGATCGGAGAATGTTTTTAACTCGTGTTCAGAGAAATTCTCCAATGTGAAGTTTGTTCGTACACAAATTAGACCTTGCAATGGGCTGAACTAATTAGTGCAATCGAAGAGTATTGACAGTAAAACTTTACTATAGTATAGAAAGGTTAGGAAAACTTTCTTTCTCTAAGCACTGGTAGTACAAATAATGCTCTATATTTTTGCAATATTTCATTACTCATTAGCTTATATTACAGTAACAAAATCTCGATAAAAGCTACTGTTACGATATATGACAATAATACTCATGCTCATTTCAAAGAAAAATTTGGTGGATGGCTATTTTTTGAATAACTTTCAATAGAGACAGTATAGAGAAGTGAAGTTTTTCCCATTGGAATGGAGAGGTAAAGAAACAATCAAATCGTAAATTATAGATTTTTCTAGTATACTTTCTAAAATTCTTTTTAATCCATTTTCTAATAAAAATGGTAGGAAAAAAAGGTTTGTTTTTTTATCAAAAGGAAAGAGCAAAATAGTGATTTTTCTTCACAAGAATTGCTAGAAAAAGCGACTTAGAGTTTCTAGTAGAACACCTATAAATTCTGAATAAGAAACTTTGTATATGTGAGTATTATGCAATTTTATGGATCTTAATTTGGCAGTTCAAATGCACCTCTAACAATTGTAAACTCACTATATACATCTCACAAAATCGATCTATTTTCAAAAAGTTGATTCAAAATTTTAAAAAAAAACTAGATCACAATAAAATTGTAATACATGATTCGATGCGTCTTCATCTCCTCTTCTCAAAGAGGAAAATCTCAGTTCTCTATATTATCTGTACCCAAAGTTATTCAAAACATACCAACTCACTTGTTTTTTTTTTTCTTTGAAATGAATATTCGTGTTATTGTCATATATCATAACAAGCAGCTTTTATCGAGATTTTATTATTATGACATTAATTAAACAATGATGAAATATTACATAAATAGAGAGCATTGTTTGTATTATCAGTGTTTACAGAGAAAATTTTCTGAAACTTTCTATGTGATATTAAAGTGCTACTGCCACTAATTTTTGGTTGTCCTAAGTACGTCCAATTCAGCTCGATCCTACTCGAACTCGTTTTTAAAGAAAGATTCCTAAATGTAGAATACTGTCTTCAGCTAAAAGTATAAGGAGAATTTATCCATATAGGTTGTTTCTCAAATTGAGACTGTTTTAGGGAAATTATTTTGCTTCATCATGTTCCACAGTTCAAGAATCAATTCCAACAACAAAACTGATTTCTGAGTTTCGTGAACAATATCAAACTCAAACAAGCAATTATCAGTAAACAATATTGTAGTTAAAGTTAAGACTATATTTTATTTTGTACACATTACTCCGAGTTTTTCGAGAGAATATAGTTTTTCCGACAATAATTGTGACGTTTCCGATGGAGTTTATTGTGTGTCATTATATACACTTACTGTATGGTTGAACTAACTGCTCATACATGATGTTTAACTTTCTCTTGTCATTTCTTCTTAACACATGCTGGGGTGTAGATGTGAACGTCGATGTAGGTGTGATGGTAGCATGAATATACTCATCCACACCCACCCACCCACTGTGATCAACTATTGGTGATCCATTATTGGAATAATTCAAATCGATAAATTTCGATGCTTTACTATTCGATAAATGATCATGTATATCTTCGATTTCGCGTATAAAACATAATGTACGCTGATTTGCATCGGATCCTAATAGAGTGTCTTTTAAGATTTTCTTTTCTGTGACTATGATTTAAAACGAAAAAGAACAGAGAATACAATCAAAGACTTGAGCGCAGAAATATGAAACCTACTCGAAATGAAAAAACCATT